CCTCGTTGCTTCTGAGCTTTTTTCATTCAAATTGCTTGTGAAAGCTATAGCTGCCCAGTTATCAGGTACACATGGCAATGTCATTCTTTCACGTTGAAATCTGTCCACGAATTCTCTAAGCAATTCTGAGTCCCCTTGCTTGATTTTGAAAATATCCTCCATTTTTTCCACTTTTTGAGCTCCCGAGTGTGCTTTGATGAAAGAATCTGCAAGCTCAGCAAAAGATTTTATAGAATTTTTGGGTAAAAGAGAATACCATATTAGCGCTCCTTTGGTGAGTGTTTCACCAAATTTTTTTTGACTAATACTAATTCAATCTCCTGCTTAGTCAAATCGTTGCCTTTTATGCCCGTTGTGAATGCAGTCACGTGGTCTCGTGGGTTTGTTGTTCCATCATATTTTGGAATATCAGGCATTTTGAACTTTTTTGGAATTGGAAGAGGAGCAGCACTTGGCTTCCAGGGTTGTTGCGAATATCTATCCATATCTATCCCTTTAATTACGGGCGGCACCCCGGGTATCTGCTCTATGCGACCACTTTGCTCCTTGAGCTGTTTCTACAAGGTTAGTACTAAGTTCTGTAAATCAGAATTAATTACATTACCTGGTTCCCTCTCCTGTGATTCACTGGGAGTTCCACCGCTGCCTGAGTTAACAAGCCCGGAATGAGGGTTTTCCAAAGTGTTATCATTTGGAGTAGGTGTAGGCGTTGCAACAGGTAACTGGTTAACAAGTGCCTCAACAGCTTTATTGACCTGAGCAACAATTAATTTTTGTAAAGCTTCATCGACAGCTTCAGCATTTTCAAATTGAGCATGCTTGTTTATTTGAGACCCATCAGGAGTATCCTCACGAGATTGCCGTGGAGAGCCTCATGGAGTAGGAACCTGAATGTTAATATTCTGTGGATCTCCCTAATTTTGTTGGTTTTCTTGGTTTCCTTGAGTATTTTCATTGTTGTTCGACATAGTTGATGCAACAAGGAAAATTAGGCGAAAAGAAAATAGATTATCAGATTCCCGGTAACGGAACCAATTTGTTTAACCAAAAAATAGAATTTTAGTCAAAGCTAGAATTTAGAAGAACACAGGTTACGGATAATCAAAAGAATGTATAAAAAGAAGTAATTTAGGTAGCAAGAATGTAATCAAGAGAAAAACAAGTAAATCAGAGTATATTCCAATAGTGTTTCGTGTCCTTACAATTGATGAGATATCTCCCTTTTATAGATATCTTGGAGATATGCGTTTTGCCCAAATCATAATAAGGCTATTATGAGTAATTAAAGACATTGAATGCTACGTTACATAATCATTATATTCAATACAAATTTTCTAACGTATTCAACATTTAATGCTCATTAAATGCCGTATCTGCACTCTTTTCTATTGTCAGATTCATTCCTTTTGATTCTCGAAGATAAATGACTTAAATAGGTACGGGTGCTGAGTTATTTGAATAACTGCCCGTGCCTCTTCCTCTACCTTTGCTCGTATCTATTGCAACTCGTGCCTCTTGGTTAGCTGTAATTCTTTGACCATTTGACCAGTCCACGTGTCTCGACACGTCACCTTTATATTTAAATACAATTTTTTCCAATACAATCGTGCCTTCAAAAACTCTAAGAATAGTGTTGAATAAGGTGTATTAATAATGTTGGGATTAATTATGCTGAGATTATTTCTTATCTACTGTTTAATTTGGGTATTAAAACATTGCACAATTTCTAAAAAAATTGCTTGTTTACAAAAATACCTTTCATATTCTTTTAACTTTGTACATTATTCTTATTGCAACCATTTTATTACCCTCACCATTCTTCACTCTCTCTAAAACCAACTTCTTTTTACAGGGAACAAAATTAGAAAAAACTAATTGAAATATTATAGTTAAAAGAGAAGAAAATTTAATTGATATGACTTATAATACAAAATATCAATTATTAAAAAAATTGGTAAATTTTTAACAAATAAGGAAAACTTTAGTTTGTACTTTGAACAAATTTAAAATCAAATTTAGTATTAAATATGATATTATTTTGATTATAGTAGAATGCTACGGTTAAATAAATATTTATTAAAATATCACAATATAAAAGTATACAAATATGACGAAAAGTATTTGGAATATGTTTTGAGGGATTTGAGGGGCTGTTATGTCTAACCATGTTTATGCAAGTATTAAAAATCCTTCTATTGCTTACTATTGTTTCATTAATTCTAATTGACGAGACAC